GGGCCATCTTGGGGCCACCTTGAGGCCCCGAGAGCCCTTTGGAGGTGAAAAAGCGAGAAGGCAAAACGCATTGATTGTCCTAAGGTGTTTGAAAAATGTTGGCCTCTTGGCTGGGGGGTCCTTGGAGGCCTCGGAGGGCACTTGAAATCGTCTTGGGGCAGTCTTGACGCCTCTTGGACGCGTGTCGGAGGCTATCTTGACCCGTCTACCGCTATCTTGGGCCATCTTGGAGGCCACATTGCGCTCTCGGGTGCCCTCTTGGAGCCATCTTGTGCCATCTTGGGCGCTGCAATGGGCCCGCCCACCCCCCCCCCCCCCCCCCCCCCCCCTCGCTCGTCCAAGCGCAGGGGGGGGGGGGGGGGTAACCTCGCAAGCAAGGAAAGGAAGGAGGTTGGAAAGGGAACCGCCCTAGACCACCTGCGCCCAAAGGGCTGGTGGGATTACGAACAAACAAAAACAACAACTCCTGCATTTTCCCTTTCGCCAATTCAAACGGAATCGGGCCTGGATCTTCTGCTCCGATATCATCTCCTCCGCCTCCGACTCAGAGCGCGTCCATGAGCTGCTTGTGCGAAATCCAGGACTCCTTCTGCTCGACGCCTTCCGAAAACGTCATCTTGGCAGCCACCTGCACGAACGAGTCCCCGAGCTCTGGATCGACCAGATAGGCCATCAACAGCTTGTTATTCCCAGTGTTCTCCCCCTCTCCAGCTGGCGCCTTGTCAACCCGGCGAACGGACGCGGAGCGGGCGGGGGGGGGGGGGGGGGAGGGGGGGATCATACTATTCAGCTGCATCCTCCTCATCGTCCTCATCCTCATCATCCGCCTCCTCGTCGTCTCCGCCCTCCAGATCGCCCCCCTGTGCAGCCTCATCATCCCCCTCAGTATCATACCCTCGTTGTCCTCCATCGGCCTCGACCTCCGCATCCGAATCCCCCCCCCCCTCCCATGTCGCCCTGGGGGCCAGCCCCCCCCCTGGGATGCCCACTCGCATTGCGCGGCCATGCAGCTCCCCCCCCCCCGCCCCCAGCTGCCTTTATCTGCCTCGCCTTCCTATCCCATCAGCCCCCTGGGCGCTGGAGGTATTACTCGTCTCTCTACCCTTCCCTCCTGGGCCTGGGGGGGGGGGGGGGGGGCGGAAGCGCAGCGGCGTCCAATGCGGCCCAGGAAGGCCCCAAGAGGGCTCCAAAGTCGCAAGATGGCCTCCAAGATGGCCCATGCTACTTCAAGATGGGCCAAGATAGCCTCCGACATACCCCCAAGAGGCCCCAAGACAGCCCCAGGGCGGATCCAAGTGCCCCCCGAGCCCTCCACGGCGCCATCCAAGATGCAAACCATTCAAAATCCGAAGGACAATCATTGCGTTTGGCATTATCGCCTTTTCGTTTCCGATGGGCGTTTGAAGCCTCAATACGGCACCGCGATGGCCCAAAAGAGGACCAAGCGGGGCCCAAGAAGGCCGAAGACGGCCCCAGGATCGCCCAAGAGGCGCTCACGAGCGCTCCAAGAGGGCCCAAGATGTCGTTTGAGAGCCCCCGAGAGGGGCGGCGCCGATTGCGGTGCCACATATTTTTGAGCCGTGGGGCCAAGATGACCCCGAGAGGCCTCCCAGCCTCTCCCCAAAGACCCTTCCACCCCGCCCTGTTTGGCCCACTATGGCTCCAAGAGGCCCTGGATAGGCAAATCTGGTGTTCATAAAGGCCTAAGGTAGCCAAGCATTGCTCAAGATAGCCTCCTAGAGACTTCCAAGGTGCCTCACGGCAGCCTCATCATGGCCCAATATAGCCGAGCATGGCTCAAGATAGCCTCCGACAGCCACTAGAAGAGCATGGCCCAATATAGCATCCATGAGGCCCCGAGAGAACTTGCAAGCAATTCTGGATGAGCCGGTGGGGATACGCGGAGCGTCAAGATGTGCTTCGTTCAACGCTGGTCGTGTCATCATTTTGGACCCATGAGGAGCCTCCTGCCAGGCAGCCTGGGCATCTGGCACATGCTTGCGAGCGGTCCTGAAGCGACCGCACAAGGCCCCGCGGGAGGAACAACTACGATCAGAGCCACACATATGACGAGATCTTGGGAAGGGGTACGCATGATCTCGCAGGGGGTGGGCACTTGCCCCAGCGAAATCAATGAGTGCCCTTTCCGAAAATATCATCCAGAAAGATGGACACGCTGATCTGGACAGGGCGGTCGCAGAGTTGTGGATGCACTGGGGGAGGTAGGGGGCGGGGGGGGTGGGGGTGACCATATAAATGGGGGGGGGGGGGGCGGGCGAGGTGGGGAGGGGGGGGGGTGGGGGGGGGTGGCCAGGCGGGGCCACTGGTAGGCAAGTGTTCACGAGGGGCCATGAGGTTTACAAGCGGCAGGCCTGACTTCATCAGGTGCGAACGCAGCTTTGAGCGCGGCCTTGTCGTTTGGGCCCCCGTGCTTCTGGAAGAGCTCGATCTTCTCGTCCAGCGTGGCAAGGCCGGGGGCGGCGTCGTGGAGCTTCTTCCAGTCCCATCTGGGGGGGGGGGGAAGGGGGCAATGAATGCACTGGCGACGGGAAGTTGAGTTTGGTTTCATCGTGCTGGCCCTTCCCCATCGGACACGCGTTGGGTCAGACACGCGCCAGAGAAAACTCAGTCCTGACTACCTTCGGTCATTGAAAATCTACCCTTGGATTTATCCGCCCACGGTTTGCCATCAGAAGTCATATTCGCAGCAGGGCGCACCCTCGCGGACATGTCCTGGCGCCTGGCTTTCGTTTTCGGTTCGGCCTTCTTCTTCATCGCGGCCTTCATCACGCTGCGAGCAGCCTTCGCCATTCCTCACGCAGAACCTGTTCTCCGTGAATTCCCCGCTCCGACATCTGAGAACTGCCCCATCGGCCGTCTAGCTCGAGCACGGAACGGCTATGGCTGGGCAGTGGTTTCCAAGAGTTGCCGTTGCCAGTGTGATGAGAACGACATGTCGCGGGCGCAACCGTGGCGCGAGTTCGAGCGCTCCGACAACGGCTCGTGAACTCAGGTATACAGCGCACATCTTACGTTTATCTTACGCAAGTCAACCGTAACACGTATCGATCTTACGTAAGACGTTATTGTCTTACGTAAGACGTTTTTGTCTTACGTAAGAGTATGTGTGTTTTACGACTGGCTTACGTAAGATAAACGTAAGATCGGTTATCATCCCCGATCAAACAGGAATCTTACGGGAACTGAAGCACGGCTGTCATTTGTTCTGCACGCGCGCCAGGGCCGAACAAACGGCGGGTTGGAGCGCCCGAAATCGCATCCAAGTGCAGCGCGTCGGGCCGCGTGGCCGCATCGGGCTCACCAGAGCAACAACATCTGCCCCGCTGCATCCTCCTTGTCACCCCCTCCCTCTCCCTCCTTCCTGCCCCCGCTCCCTTCCCACCAGCCCTATCCCGAGATATCCGTGATCTGGGGCCCCTTCCCTTTACCCCCTCTTCCCCCACTGCACCATCCAACCCTGCTCCTCCTGCCCAGTTCGAGGTTGGTCTAGGGGGGCGCGCATGTCGTTGGTTTGGGGCGATTTGTCTTTGGGTGGCGTCTTGCGAGGTTTGGTCTCGAAACATTTGCCTCTGGGCGAGAGCGGGACTAATATTGACGGGGAAGGGGGTCTGACTACGTCCGTGGAGGTAGAGGCGAGGTCGGGGCGACGTTGAATGAATAGAGGTTGGTCGAGGCTGGCGGAGGTAGCGGCGAGGTGGAAGCGGGGTCGGGCGAGATGGGGGCAGTCGCGATGCGTCGGCACGTTTCGACAGCGGGGCGCGCAGCCGCGACGTCGAGGGCTGGGCGTGGCATGACGGCAGCTCAGATCGCTTCCACAGGCGAAACGCGCCAATAATGTGCATTCCCCGACAGCAAGCATCATTTGCAGACCTGTGAAGGCCTGTCACCCCATTGGGTAGTCAACCAGACTACACCAGGAATTAATACTTCGCACCCAACAGACTTGCACTCTCTGTTGCGAGCACGTCCTTGAAACAGGATGCAACGTCTTGGACCCATCCCTGCGAGACTCCTCATCGATCATGACCCTCGAGATCAAGTTTTTATACTCGAACACATAACGCGCGTTATGTGGCCTCCAACCCACCCACCCACCCAGTAGATACCATAACGCCCGCCGCCCCACCCACCCCCGTTGCAGCAGCGCGTGTTGTTTAGCGCACAGGTATGCTGTGCGTAGTGCGCGCGCAACGTGTTTGCAGCGTGCGCAGGCATGTGCTTGTGGTATGTAGAGGCGCGTGGCGCGCGCAGGCTGATGTGGCACCCACGCAGGCGCGGCGGCACACCCAGCAGTGGAAACAACGAGCAGTTCGGCGCGCGTAGCGCACACGCCGGCTGCGGCGGCAATTGTGGTGCACACAGGCGCGGTGGTGTCCAGCATTGTCGCACGCAAAGATAATTGCTGTTGTCCCCGCAGGCAACGGGGGTATGGGGCCGTGCCCTGGAGGTGTGCACGGGCTTTGTGGTGTACGCAGGCACAGCGATGTACATGCTGGATGTGTATACAGGCACAGGGGTGCATTCGTACCGAGGAGACGTCTGACGGTGCGCAATTGCGCACCCTATTTGAGGCCCTCTTCGAACGCTCTTGGTGCCCCTTTAAGCTCCCTTGGGGCGCAAAGAGGCTCCCAGGAGGCTCCGAGATGGCTCCGTGAGGGCACCAAGACGGCTCCAAGACGACCCCTGGAGATGTGCAACGGCCATAGCAGAGGCTTCCAAGATTGCCCCAAGACCGCCCAAGAGGCCCCTAAGACGGCCCAAGAGAAGCCCAAGACGGCCCAAGAGAGGCCCAAGAGAGGGACCACGAACCGACAATTCAGCTTCCCGCCCTAGAAGGCCCGCAGAAGGCCCCAAGAAGCCCACAAGAGGCCTCCGTAGCCATTTTGGCTCAAGCCATTTTGGCTCAATCGTGGCTCGACAGCATCGACTTTTGGGTTCGTGCTCCCCGCGCGCTTCGGCACTGGGCGCGGCCGCCTGAG